ACCTCGAAACACGGAATCAGCACCAAGATCAGCTGGAAAGGGACAAGCAAGGGTAAATTTCATTTAAATTCTCCCCCTCCAATTTGAATCAACTGATCAAATCCTCCACCAGCCGCAAACTGGTGTTCTGGCAGGTCTCGGTGATGCTGATGACGCTTGAAAGGCGGCCCCCTCAAGTGACCCCATCGACCAATGGCTCACTGGTCCCCTGTTTTTGGAAGATCGGCAACCGATTGATGCCCTCAAGTGGTGGGCAGAGCAGAAACGGAGTGGAAATCCACATCACGGCCTGGCACAGATGGCCCTTGATGTCCTGTGTTGTCCAGGTAAGCAATCCAGATAGTAATTTAGTTATCTCTTGCTGATCATTTTTTCTGACATTTAACTTTTTGTATAGCAACAACGGTTGATGTAGAGCGGACTTTCAGCTTTGGCAGAGACTATGTCACCACTAGGCGACACAATCTCCACCCAAAATCCGTAAGTAGAGGCATGGCGTTGGCCTTTTATTCACAGAACAACAAGATAAAACCCCTGGCGCTCCACGAATACATGGAAAAAAAGAAGAATGAAGCTAGGACTAAGGCGAAGAGGACTGGTGGGAGTCAAAGCGTTGCTGTTGTAGTCCCAATTGATTGATGTTTTTTTTTTTTTTTTTTTTTTTTTTCATTATCTTCTATCTCTATTCCACTCTCACTGGGTCATGTCCATTGTCCACAAATGTCATACATGAGTTTGCTGCAAGCAACAAAAAAATTGCCTGGGAAAAAGAAATTTGATTCTGTTTTTTTCATACTTATTATTTTGGGGAGGGTCACAGAATAAATAAAATAAATAAAAATAAAATAAAAGAAAAGAAAAAATAAAAGAAGGGCATTAATAAAAAAACGCAGTTTTTCCGCGTTTTGACGCGGTTTTGGCTGCGCACAGCACACGCGGTTTCCGCATTTAGACGCGGTTTTTTAATTAATTTTTTACGGCTTATTTTTTGAGTTTTTTTGAATTTTTAAAATTGTTTCATAGGTTTCAAAGCGCATAGAATTTAATGGTCAAAACCGTTTTCCATAAAAATGAATTTTGATTATTAATTATTTTTTTTCACTCATTTCTCAATTAATTGTTTGCAAACATGTTTGTACCTTGTTTTTTAGCCTTTTTTGAAATTTTAAAATTATTTCCTAGGTTTTAATGTGCGTAGAATTTAATGGTGCAATCTAATTTTTTTAAAACTCTACGGTTCATTTTTAATACTGAAATTAGCCCCATTTTTTGACTTAATTTTTTACAGCTTAATTTTCACTATTTTTTGATGTTTTAAAATTTTCTCCTGCACTTTGAGACATGTAAAAAATGATGGTAACAACCATTTTTCCCCAAAATGAAAACTATACCTTGAATGCCGCATTTGACACGTTTTTTTTAATTAATTCATCACTTTTTCACTTAATTGTTTGCATACATGTGTGTACCTTATTTTCTATGCTTTTTTGAAATTTTAAAGTTGTTTCCTACATTTAAAAGTGTGTAAAATTTAATGGTAACATTCAATTCCCATAAAACTCAACGGTTCATTCTGGATACTGTAATTAGTCATATTTTTCAATTGATTTTTAAGAGCTTAATTTTCATTATTTTTGACATTTTAAATTTGTTTACTACACTTTCAAACATGTATAAAATTATGGTAACAATGAATTTTCATCAAAATGAGAACTATATCTTGAATAATGCCTTTGACGTGTTTCCTGAATTAATTCTTACACGCTCAATTATCCTTATTTTTTGGAATTTCAAGCTCATTTCCTACACTTTTAAAGGTTTCAGAATTGATGGCTGTATCCATCTTGCATTTTGCATTCAAATAAAATTTGTATATGGTACAAATTATGCAACAAACAGGGCACGCTCATCTATTAAGATTGAAGCTTGTATTTTGAGTGAAATTGGACTTCACCATTCAATTCTAAACATTTGTAAATGTAGGAAATAAATTTAAAATAAAAAAAAATGCTTAAAATCAGGCTGGTAAAAATCAATCAAAAAAACATTAAAAAAAGCCTGTCCACTGCAGTATTCAGTAACAAGCGCTGATTTTTATGTAAAATGGTTGTTACCATCATTTTTATCATGTATTAAAGTGTGGGAAATAAACTTAAAATGTCAAAAAATAATGAAAATTAAGCTCTTAAAAATCAATTGAAAAACATGACTAATTACAGTATCCTGAATGAACCGTTGAGTTTTATGGGAATTGAATGTTACCATTAAATTTTACACACTTTTAAATGTAGGAAACAACTTTAAAATTTCAAAAAAGCATAGAAAATAAGGTACACACATGTATGCAAACAATTAAGTGAAAAAGTGATGAATTAATTAAAAAAACGTGTCAAATGCGGCATTCAAGGTATAGTTTTCATTTTGGGGAAAAATGGTTGTTACCATCATTTTCTACATGTCTTAAAGTGTGGGAAATAAATTTAAAATGTCAAAAAATGATGAGAATTAAGCTGTAAAAAATTAAGTGAAAAAATGGGTCTAATTTCAGTATTAAAAATGAACCGTTGAGTTTTAAAAAAATTGGATTGCACCATTAAATTCTACACCCATTGAAACCTAGGAAATAATTTTAAAATTTCACAAAAGCATAAAAAATAAGGTACATACATGTATGCAAACAATTAATTGAGAAATGAGTGAAAAAAAAATAATTAATAATCAAAATTCATTTTTATGAAAAATGGTTTTTACCATTAAATTCTACGCCTTTTATAGTGTAGGAAACAACTTTAAAAATTCAAAAAAACTCAAAAAATAACCCATAAAAAATTAATTAAAAAACCGCGTCTAAAAGCGGAAACCGCGTGTGCTGCGGCGCATTAAAACCGCGTCAAAACGCGGAAAAACCGCGTTTTTTTATTAAGGCCCTAAAAGAAAAGAAAAAAAAATAAATAAAAGAACAAACCAAAAAAAATAAAAATAAAATGAAATTTGACTTGTGCCAACTGCTCAATAAAAAGCAAGCAGCAAAGGATTTTTTTTTTAAAAAAAAATAAATAAAAACAATTTACAAATGAAAAATAAAAAAATGAAGGCTTGCAGGCCGCCAGGACTTCATGTTGGAATTTTGTTGTCTTTTCCACTCATCCCTAAAATAACCTCTTCAACTATCTTTCTTTCTCTTTCTAATCACTCTTCATGAGACTAGATCATAGTATTAAGTAGCATGTTTTTTGAATGACTGATCACACTTTTGTAGTCTATGAACCCTAAGTAGTAGTTCTTTTTCTTCAACTCATGACTCTGAAATATCTTCTTCTTTTTCCTCATTATTGTGATTGTGGCATTCTGAATATTCATTATTCAAACCACATTTTGATTGTCGTGTATGTAGTCTATTTAACAAACTGATTACGCATGATAATTAAAAAAACATCAGTTCTTTCCTTCATTTTCCGACTCAGAACTGTTCCAACAAAAATCATTTTGTTGCCCAAAATTTCTCCTTGAAAAATTCTCTCCGTCTCGTCGCCTTTAATTTCATCACTTCAAAATTAGAGTTTATGCGGCTTTCTGCATCTGAAATTTCCCCAAGAACCTTTCCTTTTGCAGCCAAGGGGTCATTTTTAGCGCGGATATCCGCGGGTATCCGCGCGGATACCCGCTCGGCCCAGCGGGTATCCGCGGGAGGATGCGGATGCCTGATTTCGCTGAAAACGCGAGCGGATATCCGCATCCGCGCGGATATCCGGATGCGAATCGACCATCTCTAATGTTGATGGGCAACTACTAGGCTAATGAAGGGTGATCAGTTATCTGGATTGCTGGGGCAGGATCTGATGAGGAACAAATGAAGAGGGGAAAACAAGGCTCCTTATATACAAAATCTGGGGAGTGGCCAGCTTGTGGTTGGAAACACCATGGAACAAAATGGAACAAGAGAAAATTATCAAACTGAAACATGTGGCCCAATTGGTAGGCACTAAGATGAATGGAGGAAATGACATCAGAGACATGCAGGGATGAAATGTGCCACAACCAATGAGGGAGGAAGAATACACCAAAGAGATGAATGAACTAGCCAAATGTGTACTAGTGTGAGACATGAAAAATAACCCAAGAGGAATAGTGTGAAACCATAGAATGTGGCCCAAAATGGAAATGAGACTAGAGTGAAAGTGGAATAGAATGAAACACATGCAAAGGCCAAGTGTGGAAGGCTGAATGGGGATTGATGATGTAAAGCTGCATGAAGTGATTATGTAATAGAGAAATGAAATGTGACTCCAGAGTGCCTTCTGTCCAGGGGGCTTGGTCTTGTGACATTGATGGTGTTGCAGGTTAACTGAATATTCCAGAAGGGGCTTGTCTTGGTCCTTGAGGGTCTTTGTCATTCAGAGGGCTTGATATTGTACTTGAAGCTTTGATTTTGTGGGCCTCTTATTCAAGATTGGCTTACCACATCCACCCTCAAATTAGATGATGACCCCATCATCCAAACAAAGAAGAGGGCAATCTTGAATAAGGGGGAAAAAAGGTTGGGTCAGGGTAAATGGGCACAAAAAGTGGAACACAAAATATGGGACACAAATTAATTTACTTAATTTCACATAAGAAACACAAACAAGTGGAAGATTTACAAATGGTGAGAGAGGTGATATTTCAGGCACACAAGGAGTGAGGAGGTAGAAGAAGAAGAAAAGAGAAAATGAATAGAAGACAGGTTGCTTGTTTTTGAGGAGAGGGGTTGGTTGGTTTTATCAATTTATTCTAAGATTTTTTTTTTTTTTTTTAAACCACCCCCAAATTTGCATCTGGGAGGGGTGGGTGAAACAGATGACAAGAGAAGTTGAATTTTTAGAAGAAAAAAAGCCAAGGGATTAGGGTGTTGTTTTGGAGGTAAGGGGCTTGGGGTTTAATTCTTATGTTTCAATTTGTTTCTTCTTCTTTCTTTCTTTTTATTTTATTTTATTTTATTTTATTTTATTTTATTTTATTTTTTAGCTCATTCGGCGCAAAAGGGCTAAAGCTGACTGCTCTTTATGACTCATGATCCTAGCCTGAAGAATAAATCCATCCGCGCATGTACCGTCCAGGTCGGCTGCTGCGGCCGCAGCGGTTCCGTGGTCCGAAAAATGGACGATAGCGCCGAGGTTTGCCGATTTCAAAACCAGAAGAAAGGAATGGGTGATGTTGCCATAAGGGGCCAGAGCCGTACGAAGGTCCGCAGCGGTAGTACCTGGACTCAGATTGGAAAGCTCGACCGGCCAGGGAAGAATAGCATGGAAATATTGAGGGGCCGGGGGGGCTGATTCCATTTCAGATTGATTGTCGCCGACTTGGGGGTGGTCTGTACTCGGGTTCCCAATGGATCAGATAAAACAACTTGTTCCGGTTGTAGCGGCGGCGCTGTCTTCGTTCGAATTCCTGATGAAGCCGTCTAGTGTCGGCACGAAACGCTTCGACGAATTGGTTCCAACGTTTGTTGGAAGCGTTCAGCCTGTCAATAGTATCTTGACTGATGAAGGAGAACTCCCGAATTGGAAGCAGTAAGTCTTCCTCCCCTAATCCTAGAGTGTTGTCTTCTTGTTTCATCCTGTTTTGGGCAAGGCGCCACGACTTGCAACCGATAATGGGCGAAAGAACTAATAATAAAGAAAAAAAAATAGAAAATAGAACGGGCAAGGGTGGCGGAAAGAAGAGCGACGGTGTTTGATGACTGCTGGAATGGGAGCCAGGGCAAAAAAAGTACTTAATGGTGAGCCACGGCTGACTTGTGGTCGCGAAGACAAGGGTATAAAATAGGGCGGAGTCCGTTGCTTTGTAGTTCTTTAACAACCAACCGTACCAGTCTTCACAATGTCTGCTAGCCCCTCCGAACTCGACGCTGCCAATGCCCTTGCTAGTATGGTCTTGCAAGCCCGTCTGGGCACAATCTCAAGTCCCGCGTGGCCGAGTGCCACCAGGGGTTTAGATTGTGCCCAGAGGGCTTGATCGGACAGGATGGGCGGGGGGCAGGACTTGGCACATAGCCAAGTCCCGCTGGGCCGATTTCAAGCCCTGGGCCGATTGGTAGCCTGTGCACCAGCCCGGCACTGGACCCCGGTGTAAGACTCAAAAAGTGATTGTAAGATCCTTTTTGCTGAATGGAGAAAGGGATGAAATGAGCTGCAAACTCTGCCTTTCTATATTATCAGAAAACAAGACCACCAAGGTAAGCTTGGCAGTTTGGTTGGTGATAATGGATTATGTTCAAAGATGGTTGTATAATTGTTGAAGGTTGATCTTGTTGTCCAAAGAATTGATTAAGTTGTTGATGTTGTTTCTCGTGTTGATGTCTTGATACTTGTTTTCTTCCTTGATGTTGTATGTGTATAATGTAATAGAGGTGGTTCTTGAACCCAAAGGGTCTGGGAGCACTATGCTTCAACCAGGACTGGAACAAAGGACTGGTTCTTCTGTGTAATGTTTGTGAAACTGTGTATATATTTCAACTGTGAACTGTACTACTTGTGAACCTCTTGTGTAATAAATATCTGTGACAGGTGTCCCACCAAAAATGTGTACTGAGTGGGATGAGGAGGGAAACAACTGGCAGGCAGAGGCCTCCTTATATAGTAATTTATGAGGGATTTTAGCCCCAAGGGACCCCCTGTATGAGGTATTTTAGCTGCCCTATCCTTGAAAATCCTGAGGGATTTTTGCTAGACTATCTACAACGCATTCCTTTTATATGTAAGCTGTAAGAAAGGAATTCATGTGTTCTGTGGCTGAATAAATGGGAATTTAACTGGTACAACTGGTGGCCAACTTGTGGTTTTGTAAGTATAAAAGGAATTCAATATGGATAAAAGGAATTCAATATGCATTATGCAATATACCCCCATGAAATTTACCCTCCAGCTGAGTGCCTCTGATCCTGTGATTCCCGTGTGACATCCTTGATTCTGCATAACTTCTGATCCAGTTGAGATATGAAGGTGGTTCCAGTGTGTGACTAGGGGTTAAATTGGCCGTAGATTCCATTTCTGACGTCCATTTGTCCCTATCTTGAGTCCTTGATTGATAAATAATAATTTTTTTGAATTTTCTTCCTTCATACACAGGAATAATGACCACATCCTCCCCCAACTTATTGACTGTCCCCGGTCAATTCTGATTTTATGACTGTGTTTGAAGGCTAAAACTTATGTATCTTGTATGGTAGAATTTAAATTTAGATTGTGTAATGATAATAATAAACTTTGATAATTTTTTTTATGTTTATTTAATTATCCAAAATTCCCTGGTTATGTTTGGTTGAGACTGGGAATTGAACAGGGCGCCTTCTTGTTTCTTCAGAAATTTACTCCTTGGGTGAGAATTGAACCCAGTATTTGTAGTGTATAAATTTTCTTCAAGGGTGGGTATTGAAATTCTGAATAAAATTGCCAAAAACCAAAACCAGACTAGAGAGAAAACAGGATCAGAAATGAAAAGAAACAATAATAAAGAAGGAGAATAAGAAAAAAGAGAAGCATACCGATAGTGATTCAAGATAATGTAAAAACACGTGGAGGTCTTTTTTAGAAGTAAGAAGCGGACAAAATATAGCACAGTCTGAGAAAAGAGAAAAGAACATGAGGCAGAAGCGACAAGTTAATGAAAGAAAGATCAGTGATTTCCTCAACAAACAAAGAATTAAGCACCAGAGAAAGATGAAGAAAGAGAAAAAGAATAACAAACATCACAACAGTGGACTGGTTGCTGAATGATAAGAATTGCCTGAGGAAGCCGGATTGATATTTGCGGGTCAAACTTGAAGGCGGATGAAATTGAGACGAGAGAGGTCAGATCGTTTGAGCATGACGATAAGAGTGATTCGAACTTTACCGTTTCAGGTCTTTTGATGAGCGATCTTGAATCTGGTCTTGAGTCTTGATCGAAAAATGAGAACACAAAGCTTGTCGAGTCTAGGGAGCAAGCAACCGGTGCCGATTGTCTTTTTCTTATAGGAGAACCGCTGTTCGGTCGAGTTTGCCTGTCTCACCATGCTGCTGCGGATGTGCAGGCGAGTCTGGTGCGAGATGTCACTTGAAAACTCAACAGCCCTCCTTGTTTGATGAGGAAAGAGCTGAGAGACATTGATCTTGGAGCTTCTTGACTGACGAATGAGGAGCGGCTTTCGTGAGAGAGTCTGCGATCATGGCGTCTGAGGTAACTAGTTCAACATCAATTTCCTTCTTTTTGAATTTTTCGCGGAGACTCTTGATCTTGATATCCAAGTGTTTGGTCTTCGAGTTTGCACCAAAGTTTTTCAGTTTTTCCAACAATCCTTTGTTGTCAATAGAGAAAAGTGTAGGCGATAGTTTTTTCTTCCACAGTTCCTCAATCAGAAACTTCAGCCATTGGCTTTCCTGCTCTCCGTCCGATAGAGCATTCATCTCCGACTCAGTAGAGGACATGGTGATGTTCTTCTGTTTTTTGCTATTCCACAGAATGGGACACGACTTCCAGAAGGCCAAAGAGCCGCTTTGAGATATCCGGGTTTCTTGATCTTCTGCCCAGGTGGCATCAGTGAAGAAGTTGATCCTGTCGATGAACATGTCCTTCCTTGGTTTCAGGAGCAGACCACGATCCTGAGTGCCTTTCAAGTATTTCCAGCAGTGTAACACCTCTTTCCAGTGAGATAGACCCGGTCTTTGATTGAACCTTGATAAAATTGACACTGCGGCTGAAAGGTCCGGCCTGGTCCTGCATGCCAAATAATTAAGCATTCCCGTGAACGATCTGTAGTTAATGTTGAGCTTTAAGAACGCCTCATGATCTTCGTCCGTGGCAGTATGTAGTTGAACAGCGGGGGTAAGTGGAGTTTTGACGGGGCGACATTCACCGAGATCGAGGAGCTCAAGTCCTTTTTCTATCAGTGCTGGTTGAGAAAGTTCGATGAAATCTGGAAAGACTTTCAAATTCATTCCTAGCATGGTATCCGGAGTGTGAGCTGAGGAGTTCGGAAATCGCTCAAGAAAGAGTCTCTCGAACTTTTCAGTTTGTCCTACCACAATCAGATCATCCACGTGGAAGAATATAAAAGAATTTTTGTCCTTGTGAATGAAAAGGCATGCGTCCGACACAGAAGGGTTGTAGTCGATTTCCTCAAACCAAGCCGTCAGAGTTTCATACCAGTTCTTCGGAGCTTGTTTGAGACCGTACAAGGATTTAACCAGCTTAAGGTATGGAGCAGTTCGTTTAGATCCTTCAGGAGTTTTGATGTAGATTTCTTCATCAAGTGGAGCGAAGAGGAATGCGCTCTTCACATCAAACTGTTTAATAGGAAGATCAAGATCTAGTGCCAGAACGAGTAGCGTCAAAAGAGATGGGAATTTTCTGGTGGGAGCAAACGTTTCAAAGAAATCTTCGCCATATGTTTGAAGAAATCCTTGAATACATAGGCGTGCCTTTTGTTTTTCGGGAGACGACATTGTAGGAGGTTTGGTTTTAAACACCCAGGTGTGATACAGTATTTTATCTGGCTTTTCCATTTGATCCAGCCATACCTGATGTCGTTTGATATTTTCCAGCTCTTCATCAATGGCCTTAGTCCATCCTTCCGCTTTTGAGCATGTGACAGCCTTTTTGAAAGATGTTGGATCCTCCGACAGATGAGAGTACTTCAGGGGTTTTACTTGGAGGGTCCGGTCTCTGAGAATGCGGCCGACAGGTTCATCTGTTTCGGGAATCAAGGAGTCTGCTACAATCACGTCATCGTCCGAGTCTGAATCTTCATCCGGGTTGGAGTTTCCTTCTTCCGATTCCGGTAGTTCTTCCTCATCCTCTTCCTCTTTGACAGCCGTATCTTCATCCTCTTCCTCACTCACTCCAGCTTTTTCAGGAGTTCCGACTTTCTCCTCGACAACAAGTTCATTGTCGTCAGTCGAGAATTTTACACCTGGAACAAATTCCAAAAAATCAACACTTTTTGAGTTGATGATGATCCCTTCTTCTGTCAGGATTCGATAGGATTTGATTTCCTGATTGAAGCCAACCAGGGTTCCTAGTTCTCCACGAGGTTCGAGTTTTGACCGTTTCTTATTCTTTTTGTGAGAAGAGAGGACAGCTACCGGATTGCCAATGGGATGAAAAAAATCAAGTGGGATAGACCGGTTTTTAAAGAGCTCGTATGGCGACTTTTTGCTCTTATGAGTGGGAACTTGATTGAGGGTAAGGGTGCATGCACTCAGGATCTCATTCCATAGATTTTTCCTGAGTCCCGAGTCCAATATGATGGTTCGCAAGGATTCTAAGATAGTCCGATTGAAGCGTTCGGCCAGCCCGTTTTGTTGGGGGGTGTATGCATCCGAGAATCTTTGTCTGATGACATGTTCTTTGCAGAACAAATCCATGTTGGAATTGACGAACTCAGTTCCTCGATCCGAATGAAGAATTGTAGGATAGTAACCGAATCGTTTTGCTTCAATATCGATCAGTCGAGACAGAGTTGAGTAAACATCACTCTTTGAGACCAGAGGAATTGCCGACACAAATCTAGTATGGCTGTCGACCATTGTGAGGATGAAGCGATGTTTCTTGTGTGACGATGGGGTAATGGGACCAATCACGTCGAGGTGAATTTCCTCAAAGGGTTTTGAAGTTGTTGAACTTCTTGCCTTGAACGATGCTCTAGTGATTTTCACAACAGCACACGATTTGCAAGTTTCAGGAGCATTGATGGGTATTCCTATCTTGTTTCTGATTCGCCTATAGCTAACGTGACCGAGCGACTTGTGCAGAAGTTCCGCTGAGCTTAGATGCGATTGGTGGCTCGTAGACTCAAAATTAATGACAGGAATGTTACAATTGTAATTTCCTTCAAGGAGTAGTTGATCATTCTTGTGAATAGTGAAGTGGTTTACGGAGAAATTCAATTTGTATTGCTCAAGAAGGAGATGACGGAGAGAAAGTAGATTGACGGTGATTTTAGGAACAAATAAGACATTGTGAAAGATGATGTTTTTTTTCTTATAACTGAGCGAGATAGATCCCTTTCCTTCAATCTTCAGAGTGTTGGGACCGCAACTAGTGTTGATCAGTCCTTTTTCGGTTTCGTCTAGATGGAGAAACATTTTCTTGTCAGAGACCATGTGAGATGTGGATCCTGAATCAAGAATGAAGACGTTTGGATGGTGAGATGACAAGGTAGAGAAGCTGCTAACGTTCGATCCGTAGGTCTTCTTCAGATACTCTTCTCGCTTCTCCGGATAGACGAACCAACAGTTTTCCCGTCTGTGAGATGTAGCATACGGGTTATGTGCGCCTTCCTTGCATCGAAGATCCTCCTTGGTGAACATCGCAGATTCGAGCGATTCATCCTTTTCTCCGTTAGAGACCTTCAACTCGTTGAGGTGGATCTCTAGATGATCGATAAGAGCCTCGGGGTTGATGTCCTCGCCATCCTTTGAATGAGTGATTTTTTTGCTTGATATTGTCCAAGCTTTTAGGGAGTCGTCGCAGGAGATCGTAGGTGAGAATATCGTCAGGCATATCAATGCCGACGTCTTCCATTCTAACAATCGTGCTTCTTACTTCGGTAATGAATTTCTCGATATTGCTGGAATCAAACGTTATGCTGGCGAACGAGTTGTATACTCGAGCGCGATTAGAAGGTTCGTTTGAAATGAACCGCTTTAGAATGTTTTTCCAGAGCAGTTGAGCGTCCTCTTCATTTGTGGAGTTGACCACGTTCTTGTGAGTGGTGGTCGATAGCTTGGCGATGATGACCGCGCAGAGGATTGAGTTGTCGACATCCTCAAGAGCAGGTTCACCCGTGAGGATTTGGTCTTTGAGACCACCAAGCTTGAAGAGCGCCGTAATGCGAGTCTTCCATGTCGAGAAATTTTCTTCGGTCAGTACCGGTATAGCCTCAATGGTTGTCTTTAGGATCGTAGGGTTGATAGCATCCATTACGACGATCACTGGAGTCTGGTTTGGTTTGAAGGCGATGAGTGTTTCGAATAGCGATTTCGACTGTTAATCGTATTGAAATTCTGAATAAAATTGCCAAAAACCAAAACCAGACTAGAGAGAAAACAGGATCAGAAATGAAAAGAAACAATAATAAAGAAGGAGAATAAGAAAAAAGAGAAGCATACCGATAGTGATTCAAGATAATGTAAAAACACGTGGAGGTCTTTTTTAGAAGTAAGAAGCGGACAAAATATAGCACAGTCTGAGAAAAGAGAAAAGAACATGAGGCAGAAGCGACAAGTTAATGAAAGAAAGATCAGTGATTTCCTCAACAAACAAAGAATTAAGCACCAGAGAAAGATGAAGAAAGAGAAAAAGAATAACAAACATCACAACAGTGGACTGGTTGCTGAATGATAAGAATTGCCTGAGGAAGCCGGATTGATATTTGCGGGTCAAACTTGAAGGCGGATGAAATTGAGACGAGAGAGGTCAGATCGTTTGAGCATGACGATAAGAGTGATTCGAACTTTACCGTTTCAGGTCTTTTGATGAGCGATCTTGAATCTGGTCTTGAGTCTTGATCGAAAAATGAGAACACAAAGCTTGTCGAGTCTAGGGAGCAAGCAACCGGTGCCAATTGTCTTTTTCTTATAGGAGAACCGCTGTTCGGTCGAGTTTGCCTGTCTCACCATGCTGCTGCGGATGTGCAGGCGAGTCTGGTGCGAGATGTCACTTGAAAACTCAACAGTGGGATTGGAACCCATGTCCTTGGTGTTGAATTCTGTGTAGGTGTAACTGGTTTTGCCTAGTTGGGGACTGGAACTGAAGTCCTGTTTGGCTGACTCCATTTTTGAAGTTATACAGGTAACAGTTGACCTTGCACCGTTCACAGAGCCTTTCACAGGTCTCTAGTCTATCTCCAGGATATTCGCTCCGGCCCGGTAGTGTATCCTCCAACTCCTCTCTTTTATTCCATTCTCATCTCATCTCCACCCCGACTATCCTCGCAACGATCTTCTGGACAATCTTCTCGATGATCTTCACGACGATGTCGTTCCTTGAATTCGTAAGTTCCTGTAAGTTCCTTTCCTTTATTGTCGTATTTGTTTACCCCGCTCTAACGATGTTTGGCTTCATCTCCGCAGATTTTCTTGTAGTCTAGCCGCGCAGTCCTCTACTTCAACTATCCCGGCCTTGCGAATTGTCCAGCCTACCATTTTCTTCGACTTTCCTCGGTCCGGTAGCGTACATCCTCGACTTCTCGCCGATCCTCTTTGGCGATCTTCTTGTCCCCCAACCCCTTGGATTCATCATCCCCTCGTCTTACCGCCCTCTTCAGACCCAGCCCGGTAGCATGTAGCCTAAAAAAACTCATTGGCCCGCCGTCTATCCGCCACTTGATTATCCAAGCCTTACCATCCGCATCAGCTACCCAGGCCTCTTCACTCGCCCAATCTTCCCTCGACTTGGTTTGCGACGTCCTTTCTCTAGCAGGCTCGGCCCGGTAGTGTACAGTCTAAAAAATTTCATCCCCCCGCGCTCAACCCACTTCATCGCCGATCAATCTATCCTCGCTACTCGTCCGATTTACCAACATCCGTGCCAAAAGTGTAGCTGGAGTCACCGCTCCTTGTCCTCAATCCACTTCCTTGCCCAAAAAAAGCTCGCCAATTGGAAAAAATTGTTACTAGCCCCTCGAATTATAACGCTTATCCTTCAAGACCGTCATCGATTGACCATGAAAGGAATCCAAGTCGATAACAAATGTTGATATGCAGTTTGTTTTTTCTTCCTCAGGGGGGTCAATGGGGTCCCCTGGAAAAACAGGACTTCTCCCCGATTTCGTCCCTCGATCCCCTTCAGTATTTAAAGAGCCGGTTCCTCGATTCGATTCGATTCACTTCCTTCCCTACCTTCACTTCAGTCTCTTCTTCCCTCAACTCCATCATCAATCATCCTCTTCCTCTTCCTTCTCAACCATCCCCTCCATCTATCCCGCCTTTGCTTCGTTCTCTCCTTGCTCCTATCTATATCGCTTCTTCAAGTCGATCGTCCTCCTCGATTTCTCCTCCAAGTCCCTCTCTCAATCTTGCTCTCCCATCTGTCCACTCGATTGGTCGTCCTTTTCACTTCTTTTTCCTCCCCTCCATTGTCCCTTTCCTTCTTCCTCAGTCGATCTCTGCATTTGAAACTCGTCCATCTCATCCTCGTTTTTTGAGTTGGTAATGATTCCAAAACGAGTAGCTGAAGTCGCTTCTTCCCCCCCAACCTCAGCTGATGTTGTAGTCTAAATAAAAACTTGTATATACAGATTTGAAAGAAAACCTTTGATCCTTATCCAACTGAGTTTTTAAGCAATCAACCATGTGTCCTGTCCTCCTAAACTGAACTGACCAAAAATCAAGTAAGGCTTTATCTAGAAAATCTTGATATAAGAGTTGCAGAGTAAAAAAAATTTAAATTTGATAATTTTATAATAAGAAAAACCAAGAAACCCCCTCCCCCAACTTAAATGGTTGTCCTCAACCATTCCTAAGAGAAGAAAAAAAAAGAAAACTTGATTTAAGATTGAGTTCATAAGAGATGAATCTCCTCCCCCAACTTATCAAAAAAAGAGTGTGAAACTGATATGTTTTGGGTATTTTTATGATTTATGCTTGAAATTTTTTTTTTTTTTTTTTTTTTTTTTTTTTTTTCTTTTTTCTTTTTTCTTTTTCTTTTTTTTTTTTTTTTTTAGTTATATTCTATCTGTCATGTTCCCAGATGAACCTGATTCTATCTATATCTGGTGGAACTGATTCTGGTAAAATATGAAGTTGATCTTCTGAAGTAGGGAAATTTTGATCTGGAAGAGCTTGGGTCAAGATAATTGAACTGAGTGGCTGCAAATATGTGATAGAATTTGAATCAAAAATAGAAGAATTATCCCATCCCTCTCCTTCCTTTTCCACATAGCCAAAATTCTTGAGATCTGAGTTTTCAAGAGGAGTGCAGTAACTGTTTTGAATTTTTCTGTGAAGATTTGAATGAGGTAAAAACAGGTGTTTGTTGAAAATCTTGTTCTTAAGCTTGTTGATCTCTGAACCTCTTTGTTTTTTGGATTTAAAGGAAATTTGGAATTTTCTGGAGAAAATTTACTAAGGTGAAACTCTTGAGTGTTTGAACTATTATTGCTGGACTTTGTGGAGTTGGACTGATCCTGTTTCCTCCTGTTGAAAAAAATTATCCAAATTTTCTTCATCATCAGTTTCTGTAGTTTTTTCAGCATCTTCCACTTCCTTTTCTGGTGCAGCAAAATCTACTTCTTGTTTGTTGACATCTGGTTCAGATAAATTGTGTGAATGTTTTGGTAAGTCTTGCCCTCTTTTTCTTGATTCTTTGAATTTAGCTGTACCTCTTTTGAAAATTTTTAAAAGTGAAATAAAACTGATTAAAAAATTCTTTCTACACAACATTACCTTCATGAAAACAATTTTTGTCTTCTTTGTAAGCTTCTGAAAAAAATCAAAGAAAATATTTTTAAGCCAGTCTAGAAGAACCGGCGTTCGGAATGCAACTCGCTTGACTAGCTTTAGTGAGTAATTCCTTAAGTGAACACCGGGAATCAGAAAAAATGCTGGGATGATTCTGTTTTTGAAATTTTTCGGGATTTTTCCTCCTGTAAAAAAAGCTTCATACTGTTAGTGCTGAGATCTTTCATGTTATTCCAACCTCTACCTTTTCCTGTTTTTGCAAGTGGTACTGATACTTTTCTTCCATTTGCTCCTTGAAAAATTAAAGTTTCGCCCCTTTCATGATATTCTAAATTACACTTGTAATCAAAAAGAAATGGTCGTCCAAGGATGCAGTCCTGTGCTTTTGGAGAGACAAATATATGAGCCGGTCCTGAGAATCTTCCAATTGTTACTGGACAGTTTTCTGCTACTCCGCTCAAATCACATCTGGCTCCTCCGACTCCTTTCATAGGTATATCTACTTTGACCACTTCCAGTTCTAAATCTTGGGCAACTGAGCTGGGTATAACATTGACCATTGAGCCCGAATCAATCATAAAATCCACTTTTGAACCTCCAATTTCTGCTGTGACGTAACCAAGAGCGCAACTGTAATAGCAAGGGTCTGTATCTTCTTGATCTGAATTGAGTTCCATTGCAGAAACCTTGGCTGATTCTGTAGCTACGTAGGTTGTTTTACTTTTTTCTGGAAGTCTGTTCTGTAGTTTTGAAATGATTTGGGATGTGTATGCTGGAGATATAGCCGTGAGTTGAGCAAAAGTGGTCGGAATCTTGACATTGTCTAGTTCCTGAAGCAAAATTTCCTCTGGGCTCGCATCCTTGGATTTCATCGCTGAGATTCTATCTTTACTCCAAACCTTCTCGACTGGCTTTTTCGGGGGGTTCTGCAAGATCTCGGCCACTTCTTCCTCTTGATCCACATCCATCTGTTCATTGTCTGTTGGTTCCTGAATCCGGACGCTTCGTCTTCCTTTCTGCGCATCCGACCTAGTTATTGCGTGAGTTCCTAGAAAATTTTCCGCTCCTAAAGTTGGTGGATCCCAATCAATGGTTTGAGCTGAAGACTTCATGATCCCTGCAGTCTGATTTGGTTCTGCCTTGGTTGCATTCCTTGAGAGTTCTTGCATCTTTGCGTCTGCTGAAGCTGTTGCAACTACGGTTCGAATTGGTCTTGAGGGGTTCCATGGAATATGTTGCCCATCCGGTAGATACCAATCTTTCCCGTTCCGCTTCACTAGTCCTTGTTCTTCATCCTTAAATAATTCTGAACATCTATAGGTTGAATGCCCTTCTCTGTGACAATAATAACACATCATACTCTCGTAAATTGGTGCAGAGGGCCTGGCGTTTCCACGTGAGAATTCTGATTTTTCTGATCCTTGTTGGTTGTAAACAGGTAATACACTCTTCAACTGTTGTTTTAGTGAAGCAATCTCCTGAATCATGTCTTCTACTTGTTTCTCGACCACCTTTCCAGTTGGAGCTCTGGATATCATCTGTTCTCGTCGCTGACCATCACCTTTCTTCTGATCCAGTTCCCGTTGCATTCGCCTGTTTGCCTCGGAGAAGCCTGAAACCTCAAAGTATCCTTCCTCTTCAACCCTAATTTCTGTATCCGCTGCTTCTGTAACATGTTTCCACAGTGGAGGTTTACTACTGCCGTCTGGTCCTTTTGGGAGTTGTCCGTTACTGACTAAAGTCCTCTTGATGTTCTTCTGACTTTCTTTAGAAAATGCGCTTATGAAAAGAAGTGATGCGTCCTGCTTCTTGTTCAAATGTTCATTATCCACGAGGTATTTCAGGATAGTGGTGAATTTTCCCAAGTAAGCCTTGTACTCTTTGTAATCCTTCAGTCCTCCCTTTCTGGAGTATTCTTCCACAATTTTGACTAAATCCGCCGTAGTATATAGAATAGTGTTGTCCAATTCCCCCCAACTCTCCTTCATTGCCTTCCTTAACTCCATCCAATTGAAACTATCGTAACCTTCCATCGCCTCGAGTTCCAACTTCAATTCCTCCTTATGTACAAATCGTCCAATCTGTAACGCCTTTTCGTAGTCCGATGCCTGAAACGCCAAAGCCGCTCGTTCGTATCTCGCTAGAAATCGTGTGAAATTGGTCCCGTCGTAAACAATTCCCGGTTCCTTAATGATCCTCGGTCCATATCTTCTCTCAGTTGGTTCACCATCCGATCCTCTTGCATTATGTAGTCCATATCCAGTCACCGGAGGTTCCGTTTGCTTGGCTTGTCTCTGTGGTGTAGGATCTTCTGAGTCTGACATCTCTTCTTCAACCTGTTGTTCTCTGTATTGATTGGCTGGCATCTTTCCCTTATCCTTCTTCATTGGTGGTGGTGGTGCCATAAATCCTGGATTCCAGTTCGAATTTGATCCTGACGCAAATGGTCTATTTCCCAAAGGTGTTGTTGGAGCAAATCCATCTTCCAAATCTGGCACGGTATATGGTAAACTCATGTTGTTCCTGTTGACTTCTTAGTTGTTGTGATGTAATACTATGTTTGGATACTAATCCTACTAAACTCTGTTTTTCAATTCAAAAAATGGTCTCTGGTCTCTTTACCAGGGCAAGTTGGGGGTTTTCTCAGTAACAATACTAGTAGCTGGGAGTGTTCTTCTAGCAGGATACGATTATCCAGATTCTTCGGTGGTCTTCCTTCTTCTGGGATATAATCGTCTGCTTCCTTCGAGTGGGCTCCGACGTTCGCTTCAAACAGGATCCAGTTATCCAAATCCTTCGGTGGTCTTCCTTCTTCTGGGATATAACTGGCTGCTTCCTTCGAGATACGTCTGTCAGAACTAGAGTCACAAATCTTCTTCTTCTTTCAGAGGTTTAGTAGTTTTTGTTCGTTAATAGGTTCTATCCGTTGACTATTCGATCTTCAGGTTAACTTGATGTTTCTTCTACACTTGATGACAGTTGTGGTTGATAAATTTGTTCTTCGCAAAATCCTTCAAGAGTGTCGACTATCCGTGTTGGTTCTTCTTCTTGCTGTTCTTCTAGAATTTGATCCTTCTTCAATTATAACGTAATCCGTATCACGTTGGGGACTCCCTTGTAAGACTCAAAAAGTGATTGTAAGATCCTTTTTGCTGAATGGAGAAAGGGATGAAATGAGCTGCAAACTCTGCCTTTCTATATTATCAGAAAACAAGACCACCAAGGTAAGCTTGGCAGTTTGGTTGGTGATAATGGATTATGTTCAAAGATGGTTGTATAATTGTTGAAGGTTGATCTTGTTGTCCAAAGAATTGATTAAGTTGTTGATGTTGTTTCTCGTGTTGATGTCTTGATACTTGTTTTCTTCCTTGATGTTGTATGTGTATAATGTAATAGAGGTGGTTCTTGAACCCAAAGGGTCTGGGAGCACTATGCTTCAACCAGGACTGGAACAAAGGACTGGTTCTTCTGTGTAATGTTTGTGAAACTGTGTATATATTTCAACTGTGAACTGTACTACTTGTGAACCTCTTGTGTAATAAATATCTGTGACAGGTGTCCCACCAAAAATGTGTACTGAGTGGGATGAGGAGGGAAACAACTGGCAGGCAGAGGCCTCCTAGTGCCACGCCCAGGGCCCGCAGGGCCCTGGGCGTGGCGCCTGTTACCCAATTTTGGTGAGGAGGTAACAAGGTAACACCACTAAAAAAAAATGTTCCCAAATGACCTAAAAACACTTTTGGGACACCTTAGGGTTAGGGTTAGGGTTAGGGTTACGGGACGTAACCCTAGCTTGCATCCACCTCACAGATGCTGAGAGACTAGGGTTACTGAAACGATTTTTGGTAAGGAGGTAAC